GCTGTTGTTGTTGTTGTTGTTGTTGTTGTAGTGGCAACGCACGTGCGGAAAATGCTGCCGCAAAAGCAAATGCGGCAACGGAAAAACTGAAACACATGGCACGAAAACCCTAATGACACACAAACAAACACACACTAGTACGTGTACGTGTGTGTGTGTGTGTGCGTGTGTGTGCGTGTGTGCGTGTGTGTGTGCTCTCTGCTGGGGGGCTCGGGTGCTTGTCATGTGTTTATTATCCTTTGGCAGCGGAAGTTTACAACAAAGTTGAAGGCAAAACCGCAGCACGTTGAGCGACAAAAGATGCTGCCACGCCCAGTTGCCGCCCATACACCTAAATACACAATGTGTAGATGTGTTGATGTTGTGCTTGTGTGTGCCAGCTCGGCGTTGCACTGAATAAACAATTAGAAAATCGCATAAACGCCCCATTAAATGTTCTTTTCACTCTTTTCCAAAAAAAACCAAAAAAAAAACCCAAAAGAAATAACCCAGAGAAATTCTAATCAAATTTACCAAAATGGTTTTGTTCTTGTTGTTGTTGTTGTTGTTGTTGTTGCTGTTGTTGTTGCTGTGGCAATAAATTAGCAGCGCCTGCCACATGACGCTGACAAGATGTTGGGTGTTGGGGGCGGCTTCAGGGTTTGGGCGTGACCCAATAAATTCATCAGCCCGCTTCAGCGGCTGCAAAAGAAGAAGAAGCAGACATTTAAGCGTTTTACTGGGCGCTGCGCCTAAATATTTTTTGGGGCGGCGGCATGCCCACTCCGGGCCAGGCAGACGGCCTTTTAATTGAATATTAATAACAAAATCCTGCATATTATATAAGCAGCAGCGCGCCATGTAAGGGATCAGCAAAGCGCAGGTCCTTGACGGTTAATATATGCGCATGTCTGTGTGTGTGCGTGTGTGTGTGTGTGCGGGAGCTGGCATTGTATTTGTGCGCCGGCGAGTTCGCGAGGTCCTGCCACAGTGTCCTGGCATGTCAAACGTTAATATAATCATTGGTAACTCAACTCAATTCAACGCGATTCAACTTGATTCCATGCGATTCCATGCGATTCCATGCGATTCAATTCGCTTCAACTCACTTCGCATTGCAAATGCCACCAAATGTGCGGCACAAACTCAATTATCGCGCTGTCTTCTGTGGCGCCTCAAATGGGCAGCCTCCAGAAGCGTACAAATGTTCCATGTGCAGCTATAGTATTTGAATGGTCTGCAACAGTATTCGAAAATACCAATTGGCAACTCTATTACTATACGGATTCTACGTGAAAATATCTTATCATATATCCGATCTCATTATAAGACACGATCTCAGGCAGCGCAGCAAACAGAGCCAGGAAAATTGTTATGCCATAATAGCAAGAGTTTTCTTTAGCTTTCAAAACATGCTAATTACTTTTGGCTAATTCTCTTACAATTTGGGTTTTCTTAACCTTTCCATATGGTTATTTCCATGATAATCTATACGTTCTCATATACTATAATAGCTAGAATCATCAAGATTGGTATGCTATCACATATATTAGCAAGAATTTTCTGATTATTCCAATATATGCCAATTGCCTTTAGCAAATTCTAGATTTTCTCTTTATTCTCTTGCACTCATCAGCCCATCTCTACGATCTCAGTTCCTATCAGCGATAGGAACTTTATCCTAGCCATAAAATGTTGTAGACTATGAAATGTTTGCTCAAGTTTCTTCTTTGTAAAGTATAGGTAAAAAGTTTTCACTTGTTTGATAAGATAAGAGATTTCGTAGTTCCCGATCCAGCTGAAAGGCGACACGGGATTTTTGGCATTGGAATAAACAGATTGGATTAGGAATAAAAAAATGTAGCCAGATATGCGATAGTCGATTCTACTGAGTCCTTTAAAATCGTCAGGTCCGTCAATAAGAATTCTTCAAATAACTCATAGAAGGAAACATCTCCGAAGCATATATATTCCGAATCAGAATCAACAGCCGAGACGATATAGTCGTGTCTATATCTCCGTCTCTCCGTCTGTCGGTCTGTTTCCCTCAGTTCTTTTGAATAATTCAATGTAAATTCCTTTGGATACCAAAAACTGGCTTTACGCAAGGATAATGCAATAAATGAAAGCTGTATCTGTTGACAGTCAACTTGCATATTATTATGGTCTAAAATGTAGGACAGCCATTAAAAGGCAATTCCAGATGAAGCGGCCAACACGCAACACGAGACACCAAATGGGAACAGTGAAAACTGGCATGGGAATGGAAATGGAAATGGGAATGGGAAAGGAAACCCATTGAGCCATTCAGGCCATGTAGTGGCTCAGTAAACTGGCCAAAAGACCCAAATAGGAGACGGGGAGGGGTTGGGGTTTGGGGAGCGAAAAGTTATGTGTGTGTGTATAAAATCATGTCAGGTCATTTCCTGCTGGAGAACTTTCCGCCGCACAGGACCTAAAGAGCCACTAAAAGCAGCCAAAACAAAAACCAAAAAAAAAACAAAAAGCGAATAGAGAAAAAAACAAAACAAAACTAAAATAAATATGAATAAAAATAAAATGAAATAGTCAGCTCTAGGCATGGCATTTAATGCTCATAAAAATTGTATTATAATTTTAAATAATTTAGACGAGCATATTGCCAGGGGCGAAGAGCGTGTGCGGAGGGTGGTGGGTGGAGAAGGGAGGGGGGGGGGGGGGGTGCGTTCGCTGGCTAGCTATCAGACGACGGTCATGCAGGAGCCCCGACCCAGACACGCTGCCAGGGCCGGCACGCACACACACACACACTGAGAGAGAGACACACGCACACACAGTTGGCAAAAGTGCAAACGCCGTAAATCATGGCCCAGGTAAACACACAAAACGCAAAACGAAGAAAACGCAACAGAAAAGAGTGGCAAAAACAAAAAACCAAAATAAAAAAAACGTGCGAAGCAACAACGAAAATGAAATAAAGGCAATAGCCAAAACTGTGTAAAGTTTGTACGTTAAGCGTATTGGTGAGAAATGGTGGGGGAGGGGAGTGGGGTGGCGGGGGGGCTGCAGCGCGTTTTGCACGCGTTTCGGGCGCGACTCCTGCAGCAAAAGGCGCTAACTTGATGGAATCGTTAGCATTACCGTTAGACGAGACAGTTAACACCGCAGCAACATATGGTGTCTGTGTTTGTGTGAGAGAGACAGAGAGAGAGAGAGGGGGAGGAAGGGAGAGGGAGAAGAATGATAGCCATAGATAGCCAAGTTTGTACGTACATAGTTTGTGCGACCCCCACCCCACCCCACCGCAAAGAAGAAATCCCCCCGAGCATGCATTAGAAATGTACCGCAACACAAATAACCATATTATTACGTATAGATTACATATACATGCATAAATAAGTAAGTGATGAGTAACTATTTACCTAAGCTATAAATACCGTTGTTTATATTGACCTTTGGCCAAGATACTATTGTATGGAATTTGCTTTTATGACTCAGTATTAAAATAAGTTAAGCAAAATGCGACTTAAGCCTTGAGAACACACTTCCCATAAACCTCATAGGCTGTCGGAGTCGGAAATATAGAAAAACAAAGGGTATTAAATGTTCGGCCCACGTTGTTCTTGTTATTTATTAGCATTCAACTTATGTTGACGAAAAAGTAAAATATTTATTTATGTACTATATAAACATGTGCCTATTAAATGCCTGCAAAATAAGAGAGAAAGAAAAAACAAAACACAAATGCCAAGGTCAGACCACAGGGGGAGCGTGCGGGTGGGTGCAATAGCGCCACCTGCTGGCCACACACACAACTGAAATGGGTGCTGAGCTGATGAGGACTTGCGTGCATGTGTCTATCAGTGTGTGTGTGTGTGTGTGTGTGCATGGGTGTGATGTAGATACACACAAAATCGCTGCCTATATGCAAGAGCATTTTTGACAACAACAGCAACAACAACAACAACAAGAAAGAGTGCGCGAGCTCGAATATGTTTCAATTTCACAGCAGCAGCGCGGGCAGCGCGGACAGCGAGGGCTACCAGCTACAGTAACAGTTACATTTACGGGTTACAGTTATGGTAGCAGCCGACGCGCTGACTGCCTGCAGTTGATTGCTTGCCTGACACTCTCACACACACACACAGAGCCACACTTACACGCACACTCATGTGCGGAGCTAAGCCTTGTGCAGTGATTTTTTAGCCGTTGTTTTTTTTTTTTTTGTCGCTTATTGTTGTTGTTGTCGCCTGTGTGTTTGCGGCTGCTTTTCACAAATTTCACGCTTCTTCTCTTCTATTTGGTTAAACTTGACCCACAAAAATTGTCGCTCGTCCGCAATTTGGCTAAAAAACTGCAACGAGCTGTGCAACGGCAGGCGGCAGCTGTTAATGAATATTCCATATTCTGTGGCTTAAATTTGCCGACATTTTGCCAGAGCTGTCAGCGGTTGTGCGCAATTAAATATGTACTGCAACTAATTGCATTTGCTGGTAGTTAATTAATTAATCAAAAGAGAGATATAAAAGAGAATGTGAAAGCTAAAAATAAATTAAATTAAATGATCAGTGCGCACTGCTTGCAGATAGCAAATCAAATACACTGCTTTCACACTGCTTACGCAGCTAAATAACAGCATTGTAAGTGGTTATGTGTATAACAGCGTGCACTGCTTGCGCTGGCACTGCTTTGTGTGCTTGTTATGATATAACAGTTGCTGCACTGTTAACTGCTTGTCGCTATTAGCTGGTTTGTGCAACGACTAAGCAACGACATAAACCTGTGTCTATTGTGAATAGAGTGTTTAGAAGGTATGAAGCGACATTTTGTTATCTATGCATCTAAAACTGTATTATCAGGGTGATTGATTGACTGCTTGATTGATGATCTACACAGGGCCCAAACCGTGAAAGCTAGAAAGCTGAAATTTTGAAAGATCTGACTTCTTGGACTTTAAACATAGTTAACTAGAATTCAAGAAACTGATGAGTTTTTCGCTCTTTTTTTTTGCAGCACGTCTGAACTAACTTGCAACGTGTAGAATGAAGATGGTGCGTGTCAGTCGCGGGTTGCTGTTGCTGCAACTGGTGCAACTGCTGCTGCTGGTCGTGCTGCCCGACGCTATTGTGGCCAAGTCGAAGAACAAGAACAAATCCAATCAGAATACACACTATGCCGACTCCGGCGGCGGCGGCGGCAGCAGCAGCAGCAGCGATGACAACAACAACAACAAGCTGAAGGGACATGGCGAAGGCGGCCAGCACTTTGCCATGGAGCCACAGGATCAGACGGCCGTGGTTGGCTCCCGGGTGACGCTGCCCTGTCGCGTCATGGGCAAGGTGGGCGCACTGCAATGGACCAAGGATGACTTCGGTCTCGGCCAGCATCGCAATCTGAGCGGCTTCGAGCGCTACTCGATGGTCGGCAGCGACGAGGAGGGCGACTTTTCGCTGGACATATACCCGCTGATGCTGGACGACGATGCCAAATACCAGTGCCAAGTCGGGCCGGGGCCGCAGGGCGAGCGCGGCATACGTTCACGTTTTGCCAATCTGACGGTGCTGGTGCCGCCGGAGGCTCCAAAAATCCAGCAGGGCGACTATCTGGTCACCACCGAGGATCGCGAAATTGAGCTCGAGTGCATCTCGGCGGGCGGCAAGCCGGCCGCCGAAATCACCTGGATCGATGGACTGGGCAATGTACTCACCGCCGAGAGCTTCTTCGAGCCGATGGCCGATTCGCGACGCGTCAATACCAAATCGGTGCTGAAGCTGGCGCCCAAAAAGAAATATCACAATACGACGATCACGTGCCAGGCACAGAACACGGCCGATCGCACCTATCGCTCCGCCAAGGTGCTGCTGGAGGTCAAGTATGCGCCCAAGGTGTCCGTTTCGGTGGTGGGCGGCGCCTTGGCCGGCGGCCGTATACCCGAGGGCGCCGAGGTCATACTCAGCTGCCAGGCGGACGCCAATCCGCCGGAGGTCAGCTATCGTTGGTTCATCAATGATGAGCTCATCACCGGCGATTTTACCACAAAAATGGTAGGTGTACGAACATATCGCCGGCCCATTTATCGCCTCTAATCCGTCTGCTCTTCCCGTCCAGATCATTCACAATGTTACACGCAAATATCACGATGCCATTGTCAAGTGCGAGGTGGTCAATGCCGTGGGCAAAAGCGAGGAGAGCGAAACCCTCGACATAAGCTGTAAGTAGCGAAGCTTTACCGGAACCGGAAATTACAATATGCTATACTTTACAGTTGGACCCGTTTTCCGTCAACGTCCGGTCAGCAAGGAGGCGGACCTGGGCGCCACTGTCACCATGCGCTGCGAGGTGTCGGGCAATCCAACGCCCGAGATCGAATGGATCAACGAGAACTCGGATCAGGTAAGTGTCAATTGTTGACCAATCCAAGGCAAACTAACTAGACCCTTGCCGCTACCTCATAGATTGTTGGACGCGCACCGGAGCTGAAGCTAAAGGTCAGCAGCGAGACCGCCGGCCGTTACTTCTGCAAGGCGGTGGTCAACGGCTTCCCGGAGATTGGCGCCGAGGCGACCGTCTATGTGAAACGTGCGCCGATCATCACATCGCACAAGGTGCAGTTCGGTGCCGTTGGCAGCCGGGCCAAGATCGACTGTCTGGCCTTCAGCATACCCAAGGCGGAGCATATACTGTGGTCCTTTGAGGGCAAGCTGATCAACATGAGCAGCGCCGATCCCGACATCTACATATTCGAGGAGCACCATCTGCCGGAGGGCGTGCGCGCCGCGCTCATCATCAAGGAGAGCCGCTCCACGCACTATGGCAAATACAATTGTACCATAATCAACTCGTACGGTGGGGATTCGTTGGTCATCACACTGGTGCCGGAGCCGGGCAGCATACCCGTGCCGCTGGTCGTCATGGGCTCCATGTCCCTGGTGGCCATTGTCCTGATGGTCGTGATGATTGTGATTGTCTATAGGAAGCGGCGCAGGCGCAAGAAGCCAATGCCCGCCGATGTTATACCGGAGGCATCGCGCGGCGGCGACAAGCTCAACGAGCTGAAGAGCGAGCTGCGCGCCAAGGCGTACGATGTGGAATATTCGGAGGCCGGCAGCGATGGGCTGGCCATTAATCTCACCCAGACACCGATGCCGGATGTCCAGATGAAGGGCGCCACCCTGGGCGTGCCGCTGGCCGGGCCCGTTAAGTTCGATGAGCGTTTCTCCGGCGACTACAGCGATCGCTACAATCGTCAGTGCCACATCAAGAATCCCAAGAATCAGCCGGACCAGGCCTACAAGGAGACCACCAGCAATGGCTATGCGCCCTACTTTGAGTACGCGCTCGACTACAGTCCACCCGCTGACAGCGGCAAGGCCAAGGGCGCCGCCGGTGCCATCAACTCGGCCACCCTGCCACACTTTGCGGCCAGTGCGTCCGGCGCTGCCCCCACCACAGCCGGGGGCGTGCCCCTCAGCGGTGGGGCCAGTTTACCGCGCAATCAGCGTCACGAGCTGCACCACAATCACCAACAGCATCAGCATCAGCATCAGCAGCAGCAGCAGCAGACAAAGCTGCCACAGACATCGCAAGCTAACGGTTTTCTGGGTAAGTTCATAAGAACTAGTTCGCGGAAGTAGTTCAATGCGTGCTCTACACTAAACATGAACTAATTTCAGCTACACAAATTTGATTTGTTTAGAAATTCATTTAAACTCCACAAGAATCTCGATTCTGCTTCAGTTTTCAAATGAACTAGTTTATATAACTGGAACTGCTCATGATCTAGTTCATAAATCAACTATCTAATAACTGTAAAGAAACAAAATATTCGATTAATTTAATTTGAACAACAAATGAAGCTCATTTTAGCTAGGCACAAATTTAAAATTCGATTTAAGTTCTTTTAAACTCCACAAAAACCCATTGAAGAAATTTAAGTTTGAACAGAAAATGAACTAGTTCATTTTAACTAGGCGCAAGTTGAAAATTTGATTTTATTTGAAATTCATTTAAACCACAAGAGTGTAGAATCTGCTGCAAGCTCAAAATGAACTAGTTCATAGAACTATAACTGTTCATGAACCAGTTCGTAAATCGAGTATCTAATAGCTTGAAAAAAAAACAAAAATATGTGTTTACTTTATAAATTTAAGTTTGAACAGCAAATGAACCAGTTCATTAAACGACTTTCCAATTAATCTCCCTCCCTCTCTCTCTCTCTCTGTCCCTTCAGGCCAACCGCTGCTGCAGAACGGCATCGACAGTCGCTTCAGCGCCATCTACGGCAATCCCTACTTGCGCACAAACTCATCCATATTGCCACCGCTGCCACCGCCGAGCACCGCCAATCCAGCGGCCACGCCCGCCCCACCGCCCTACCATGCCGCCCGGCATGCCAACAGCAATGGCGGCCTCAAGCACTTCGGCGCCGGCGGCTACGGTGCGGCCGCCAGCATCAGCGTTGCCGGGGCAGCGGGCAGCGCCGGCGGCGGCGGCGGGGGGCCGGGCAGCGTCAGCGGCAGCAGCTCAAATTTGACGGCCAGCAGCAATACGCTGGCGGCCACGCCTCTCACACAGCCATCGTTGTGCGGCCCGTTGGGCGTGGCCGGAATGGGGGCACAGCAGAGCGCACAGAGTCCCTCCGGGCAGTTCATATTGCCCACAAATGGCAAGGGCGTAACACAGAAGGGGCCGCTGGCCACGCATGTCTAAGCAGTACGCCGGAACCAGCCGGAAGGCAAGAGGAGCCCAAAACGGAACCGGAACCGGAAACGCAGCTAAATAACGAGTATAACGCATATTTATTCAATTTGTATTCGTATTCGTATTGTCTAGACTCTAGATACTAGGGAACTAAGCGAGATAGAGAGTGTGTGTGTGTGTTTTTTTTTTCTCGAAAAGAATTTCGATTATATATAAAAAACCGTATTGTGATTTATAGCGTTAATTATTTTATGGAAACTCGACAAAATAACAAAAAAAAAAATAATAAGCAAAAATGCAGTCAAGGCAAGGCACAGGCTATGTAGGTATATCTATCTAGTGCAAATTTTAAGCTGTTTGTTATGCTATTCGAGCGCTGAAACTGATGAAACAAAAATGATATCAATTAACGAAACGTATCGAAAAACTCACAACTTTCAAAGTTCATTTTAGCAACAAAATAAACCAGAGAATTGCAGAACTTTTCACAAAAAAAAGCGAGTCAAAATAAAAATAAAACAAAAATATTTCATATGAATATAGTAAAAAATATTAAATATGATGCCTGTAGTTAGTTCCAAGTAAAACGCAGCAGCAGCAACATTTTCTAAGCCAAAATCTATTCAATTTTAGACTTAAACCAAAAACAACTGCTAAACGAACTAGAGCGAATGCTAGTATAGCTTAAAAGAAAAACTAAATAAAAAAAATAGTAAAAGGGAAAACCATGAACGAACTAGTTTATATGACAAAAAGAAAACAACGCCCATTCGCTTCAAATAAAACTCTTTTTCTGTTCAAAACCTATTTAACAAAATTGATTAGGCAATGTTTTTAAATGTTTAACTAACTTGTAGTGCCGCCCACATATCATTAAAAAAAAAAAGAAAATATATACATTATATATATACACTATATAGGGCCAGCTTGATCGGATGACACAGCATCAATTTTTTTTTTTGTCCTAGCAACTAAGCCAAACAACTTTCAATTATGTACTTAAATGTAAAGTAAAAACTTTGAAAAATGTTTAACAAAAGAAAAATAAACAATAATAATAAGCAAAGCATATCCGAAATATATATTATGTGTGTATGTGTATATTGCTCGTATATATAGCGCATATGTGTATGTATGTAAGCCAGCTGGTTCGACGCTTAACTTAATTAACTAACTAGTTGTAATGTACTTAAATTTATAAATACTTAAACACAAATCGATACACACACACACACACATATACATATGCATATATATTAATGAGAGTGTAGTACACTGCGAGAAAATTTTTTTTGTCTGCATAGTAAAAATACATATAAATTAGTGTAAGAAATCGTCAAACAATTTTAAAAACGTAAATTAGTAAACGAAATGAAACAAAGCTTAGAAAAATTTGCAAAACACATTTGAGAGATCTACCAAAAAAAAAAAAAAGAGAGAGAAGCGGCAGATAAAGAGATGTTGAGGAAGAAGAAATGTTTATGATAAAATATCGAAAACCAAATACAACTGAAACAAGTTGCGATAGAAATTTTTTTTAGAACGAAATGCTGCCTTATGATTCCTTGTGAAATTTGTTGGATTCTTAGACAAACCTATGTGTGTGTGTTTATGCCAACAACTAATTATACATTTTTTTTTTATTTTTTAATATTTAATATATATATATATACACACATACATGCGCATGAGTATGTTGAATGAAAATCGCTTTAAAAGTTTTCTTGTTTACGACGAAGTTGCTTTTTTTTCAATTTTGTTGTGCCATTTGCAGAGCTTCTTTGTAAGTTCATAGAAATTAAAAAAAAAAAATAAAATAATGAAAAGAAGAAAAAAAAATACAAAAGAAAACTTTTGGGTAAATGTCAAGCGATTCAATTAAATGTTCAATTAAATGCAAAAACAAAATACAAATTAACAAAAAGAAAATTACATAAACATAATAATAATAAAAAAAGAAAGTTAAGAAAAAAAATAACGAAACGAAAAAAATCCTATTAAGCCAAGTAAATATGATAATTATACATTATATGTGAAATGCATGTGCAAGAAAATGAAGGAATATGCAGGAAGAAGAAGCAAAGAAAGTAGAAAACACAGCAAAGCAAATAGCAAAATGTTGAACGAACAGCAAACAGAAAGAAGAACTAAGCAAAGTGTGAAATTTCGTGTAATATGGAAATTAATTCAATAAAACTAAGTCAAAAAACTCAAATTAGTTGAAATAAAAATCGAAAATGAAACCAAAAATGCAACATTTCTCATATTTTCATATAGAAAAATTGGCCCCAATATGCATATAGTTGGCATATAATTAATGAACTCGACAAATCTGCAGTGGAATCAAGACGCGTTGCACATTTTTCAATTTAAGCGCATTTTTTTAAATGCTAGCCGTATGTTCGATAAATGTTTTCACTTTTAAGGCAGGACGCGACTTGTTATCGACCTATCGATTGGCCGCCGTCAATCGGCAAAAGCAACCTGACTATGCACGAATTTTGCCAGAGCGCCTTCGTGGGGCAATAAAGAAAAACAAGTATTTAATTTTTGCAGCCATTTTGAAATTGGAAAGAAATAACGACACAGCCAACAACAAGAATGCAAGCAAGCCAGTCGTCGTTCCAGCAGCGACGCAGGCGCAGTAGCTGAGAGCGCGTACATTGATGAGCGCAATCGGCTCTCTTAAGGAGTTCAGCTCGCTCAGACAGCAATGCACCTTAACCATGATTATGCTCAGAGTTAAGTGCGTCGCTATAACATCATATGAAATGTGTTCATTTATTTAGTAAAATATGTATGAAGTTGAAATAAATCTGAACACTTAACATGCATACATATTCGTGACATGTGTTACTGGCTAAACATAAGAATTGCCTATATTCGTAACATAAGCTTTTGATAACTGGCATATGCGAGTGTCCAAGCCACTCTATCAGTCTGTATTCGCTCGCTCTCTTTATTTCGTTCGGTGGGCATTCGCCCTGCCATGATCACAGCTCACTGTGGTATGTTTCAAACACAGAGAGAGAGAGAGAGAGAGAGAGAACGCGCGCGCGTGAGAGCAAGAGAGAGCCGGCTGGTTGTCGTTGTCTTTTTCGGGGGTTCAGACAAGCGACGCTTGTGAGCGCGGCTCAAAGTGTTGCGAGTCGTGAAACGAAACGGATATCGAGGCGGACAGTTTGCAGCAGTTGGAAATTGCAATTGCATGGGATTTCAATTAAATGCTATTTTATTTTTTTTGAGTGCCTCCTCTCAACTGTGTATTTGTGCGTGTTTGTAGCAGTGTAAAGGCGACGTAAATTTAACTCGCACCGCAGGCAAAAGAAACGAAACGAAACGAAAACAACAACGAGAGGCAACAACAATATGGCGTTTAATACCGCCGCATGCAAAAATTGCAGCATGCGAATGCGGCATATAAAATAAAAATCGCTATCGGGATCGGTATCGGTATCGTCGGTAACGTCATCGAAATATTCAATATTCTTTTTTTGTTGTTTTTTTCCACTTGGTGGTCTGTGCCTGTGTCCGTGTAAGTGCAAACAAATAAATCAAGCAAAAGGAAAATAAGCGCAAAAAAAGCACAGAAACCACAACGCGACTCCCTTACGCCTGTTTGCGTGTGTGTGTGTGTGTGTGCGTGTGTGTGTGTATTGCCCCGTATACGTGTGTGTGTGTATGTGAGAAAGGAAGCAAACCGTTTTGACATCGCCGTCTTTGTCTTTCGTCTCTTTGAATAACATCGCTTCAGTTGAATTCAAAGTTTGTTGCGGTTGCGCGTGGAAATGTCGCCGTTGTCAGCGTCGACGTCGGCGTCGCTGCATACAACAAACGGCAACGCGCGGCACTTAATTGTTCTACTCGCCTGGCTGCAAAATACATAATAATAAAAGAAAAAAAAAAACAACCAGCAGCAGAAACAAAAATTAAAAAAAAAAAAAAACAACCAAAAGTCAAAGTGAGACAACAACAAACTACACACAAAATTACTGCACATACAACAACAACAACGACAAGCAAGCAAAAAAAAAAACTCAAAAGCATAAAACGCAAATCTTAAACTGGATTACAATGCAGTTGCAGCGCAGCAGACGTCGCTGTCGCGCACACAGAATTTGGATTAACGAAATGCTAGCGGGCGTCGCGCTGCTGCTGCCGCTGCTGGCGCTAGCTAATTTCAGCAGCGCCCAGGCGACGGGTAAGTGTGAAAAAAAAAAACAATGAATAAAATAAAAAAAAACACTATTTTTGCATGCATATTGATTGAGTCTGCATTTTCGTGTTCTGTTCGTTTCCCTTTCTATTTGCCTCTCTGTGTTCCTTTTTGGATCGCTGTACGCTGCTCGTTGCTCGCTGCTCGCTCCTGCCTGCCAGCCAGCCAGCCAGATCGGACAGGTGGTCGCTCTCTGGCAGCAGTACGCTCTCCCGCTCTCTTTTTTCAGCTCACTCTCCCGCTCAGATTTTTGTGCGCACACACACTGCCGCTGCCTGCCTGCGCAGTGCGCACCTTTAACTTCTTATATGCTACGGCACAGCCGCAGTCGCAGCCTTTCGTTTCGTTATATTCCATTTTTTATTGTTACCATGCATACACATGTAGTTTGTATGCCAGTTGACACTGTTATACAAGCGCTCGTATGTGTCTTCTGTCAACTTCCTGTAGCTTGTCGTGGACTCCCCGTCCCCAATCATAATTAGGCTCACTTGTCAAACTTTTGTGTACTACTATTTACACACACACACACACACACACCACACACACACACACACACACACACACACACACATACACACACACACTCACAAAGCAGAAGAAGCGTATCCAGACTCATGCAAGCCAAAAGAAACCACATTATTTGCATATAAGCCGTCGCTGCTGGGGCTCGGCTCTTGTCTAATCATTGTGTCAACACACTCGTCTCCGTTTTAGGTCCCTTATGCTTGCTGGAGTGTGCGTGTGTGTGTGTGTGTGTAGGTGTGTGTACATAGGCGTAGGTGTAGTTGTACCTTTGGTACTCTCATTGCCTTTGCACATATCAACTTTCCGGGAATTTAAAAACAGAACGCGTTTTTCTTTTTTTTAGCTGGAACCCCTTAGACTGCGTCGGAAATAATTACCTTTTTTTTTATTTACTATTTACTTTTGGCCATGTCTTTCCAATGCCGAACAAGCGTCCAACTGATCTGGCCAGAGCTGACATTAGACACAGAATATGTTCGAATTCGAATGTTGAATTACATCCCAAACAAATAGATAAAATGCCCTTTGTTCATTGATAAAACTCCATTTGGAATGTTTACAAACGGTCAATAAGAGCAAATATTCAGAAGAGAACTTGTGAAAAATGTGGTATATAATGCAAATATCGGGCCTAAAGAATGTCGACTTTAAAATATACGATAATACTTCGAAAATTATGAATTATGGAGTGTACAAAAAATATTCGATTTTTTAGAGTAAGCGCTTTTATACATTTGAATAATAAATGTATTTACATATGTTATAATTCCAACTATTTTCTTTTTGAATATTATTAATTTTATAACATTTTCCATCACATTTTATACAAAATGGCTACCGAAAGTATATAGAATGTTTATAATATTCGAGCACTGCAATGATATTAAAATTGGAGGAAATATATGGAAAATTCTAGCATTACAACTAATATGTTTTATACGATCGGCAATAGATTTTTGTTAGAATTTTTGATATAAATTTATTGAAGTTCGATTTAACTGAATATATATTGCATTTCTCATATCAAAATATATATATATATATTATTTTTTTGATCAATATCATATACATTTTTAATGTGATCTTGAAGAAACGTGCATCAAAATAGAGCGAAATTTGTTTATCCATATTTTGATATATCTTTATTTATTTACATGCATATATATTTTTATTTATTAAATATATATATATTTATCAAATCGAAATATTTGCATCAAAATAGAGCGAAATTTGTTTATCCATATTTTGATATATCTTTATTTATTTACATGCATATATATTTTTATTTATTAAATATATATATATTTATCAAATCGAAATATTTGCATCAAAATGTGTCCAAATATGTGTATTTTGAAAAAGTTCCCAATCTCCTTCCTAAATATTAACAGGATATAAGTTCTCTCTAGCTCCCTCTCTCTCGCGCTCTCTCATCTAACGCTATTTATAGCATGCTATATTCAAATATTTATATACATATCTATCTATACATATATATACATATATACATATATATATAAAGACTAGCTTAAATGCCTGCCTGCTGTGGATAATTAAGGATAGATCTAACGGCCTGCATGTGCGTGACTTGCAATAATTTCGAGAGAGCAAAGTCAAGAAATTGTATATTAGGGTGCGCTCAGGATAAGCGCAGAAACAGAGCGGTAGAAAGAGAGAGGGAATGTGAGCGAGAGAGGAGTGGAGTGAAGTGGAGTAGAGAACAGAGCACAGCGAAGGCAGACAGGAAATACTCATACAGCATGGGGCATAGACACAGAGCTGGCTAAAAGTGCAGGCACAGCGAGAATGCGCGACATTGAAACAACAACCAAAGGCAACAAAGAAATGAAGAGAGCATCTCGAGAACTTGTTTCCAGTCTAGGTAGTGAGTGGTTACCCATGCATATGGCTGGCTCTTTCGCTCTCCTTAGCTGCTCGCTCGCACTCGCTCTTGCACTCGCTCTGGCCTTATCCGTAATTTGATCTGTGCGCAAACAGTAAAAAGGACGCGCCTGTGCAATATGCTTAGGGGTTGCACTCCCGTCGCGTCTCCCTCTGGCGAGTCTCCCTTCCCTTCCTTTCCACCATGGCTGACAGCAGCTGTCGTTTTTTCGTTCCTTTTGCGTTTGCTGCGGTGGTTGCTGCAGTTGCTGCTGCTGCTACTGCAAAAAAAACCGTTACAATGCCGCACGGGGCTCCACATGCGGCGGGGGTTGGGGCAGCTGTGCGGAGCCTGTCAGCTGCAATCGCAGCTCTGCTCAGTTGACTGATTCCCCCTCCAGAAAACGAAAAGGAGGCGTGGCTCAATGCCACGGCGTAAATTACAGTAATGCATGAAAATGTTAGAGATGTTGTTGTTGTTGTGTTTAAATGTCAATATATTCATGTATATATATATATATACATATATATACACACACACAATATCTGAAATGAATGGGAAAGTTGAGCTGTAACTTTTTTATGCCAACCTCTTTTTTGTTTTTTTGCCTCCAGCAAACGCCGCTAATTTGTCGCTGGCATTTAATGGGCCTTAATGGAGAGCGCAGCCGATATGAAAAATTTACAAGTATTTGCATATGTCATAGTTTGAAGAGGGAGAGAGAGAGGTAGAGGGGGGGGGGGGGGGGGGGGGGATATCGCATATGCATGCTATAAAGAGGAAACGAGTCTAGGAAGCTTACTTGGAAAAAAAAAATGAGCAAATGAGTTGGGAACTTTAGCCCAATGCAGTTGTTGTTTCGTTTTTATAAAGCGAGCTGTCAGCTCTTTTGTGTGTTGGGCATAGCAAAAAAACGTTTTACAACACTCTAAGCAACATATATGTACATATAACATAAATTATGCGACAGTTTTGTATGAGACCTTGTCCATATAGCTATATAAACAATATCGCTTAAGTTGAATAGATTTGAAAAATGATTTTATGAAGCGATTTTTCACTATTTAAATGATTACTATAAGGTACATATAGTAAAAGGTATCCAATTATCAATTATGAAATAAACATTCGAAAATTAAAATGTTGTTAAAAGCTTTAATCGACATTTCCAATGTGCTCGATATTCGGAATTTATAAACTTAACTTTTAAGCTTTTCCTAAGTTTTCTTCTTGTTTTTCTAACACTGGAACCCTTTAAAAGGGTTTTAAGTTTCTTTTATCTAAACATAGGACAGGTAAATAGGATCCAGTAGAAATTCAATAAAGGGTTTTTAATTTCTTTGTATTATAAGGAATCCAAACATGAGATAAGTTAGGAATTTGCGAACATAAAAGTTTCAGTTAAAGCTAAACAGATATTTGAGTTCCTAGGAAAAAGCAGGCCATGCATACTTCAACATGGATTTGAACTAGCAAGAAGGACATCCATGTTAATGAAGTACAATTCAATGAAACATGAATGCAAATACTTGAGTAAAAGCAGCTCAATTCAAGTAATATGAATATTACGATATATGTATTTAACCATGTATATATACATATTATAAAGTATGAATTTGACCCGAATCCCTTCAGGATTCTTTAAGTCGGCACGAATTGAGCTCTGTCTTTCGGCGATAAACCACAGACAGGCGCAATGTCAATTTGTGGAAAGTCTTGACGTCTTCTTGGCACTGCCCGAAGGCGAAGGCCGAGCGGACATATCGCATGATCGCCTATATGTACATATAGAGGACCGAGCACTTATCGGCCATTTGCTGTCACATTTATTAATTAATCGTTGCCGCTTTTTGGCCAACTTTCTCAGCACTTGAGCGATTGGTAACTTAAGACTTCATTAAAATAAATAAAAAAAAAAAAATGATGCGTTAAATCTGAAACAAATACGCTTTAAAAAGGAAGAAGAACATGCAGCAGTAGAAAGCAGATACGAGTGAACGAAAAAAACAAAACTTGAATAAAGTGCAGCAGTTGGCCTGAGTCGAAAAGCTTAGCTGGCCGAATATTAAATACCCTAAAAAGGTTCAGGTTATCTGAAGAAACAAACCCGATTTTCACACTAGCTTCGATTGCCTGCTTGATAACTATATCATATTATGCTGCGAGGCCTTTGACTTGGCCTTCAATGCAGCTTAGCCATAAAAATATTATATATATATATATATATACTGTTTATAATCGAAATGTTGCCTTCCAGGGATTAGCCCTTGCCCTCGGCAAGGGTATTTTTAGTGTAAAGCAGAAAACAAACCCGTTTAAAGGCCCGCTTACATATTGATTATAATGCTCTGTTACTTGATACCACCTTCAGAGAGATGATCATCGTCAAGATATTGTTGTCGCTGTTGAGGTTGCGGAGCAGTTCCGTTTAGCGAACGATCCTGTTTTTCGACACACACACACACACGCACACACCCAGGCACAACATGGCCAACGATAAAACAGATTGAGAGAAGCAGCGAAGTAAGAGACTGCCAAAGTTGTTTAATACACTGTACACTTAATGAAAATGGGT